CCGCGGGGAGATGGCCTCTCTTGGAACGAACAGCACGTTTTTTAGAAGCTGTAATTTATGTCAGTTAATGGCGTGTAGGTGATAAGAGTGGAGCTAATCAGCATTTACTGTACACACTGGGGAAAAATCACTGAAAACTTGCCTGCTTGGTCTGGACTAGAGGTCCTGAGCACAGCATTAGTGTAGAAAAGCCCCATTAAACTGGGAGCTTGCTGGCCTTAGGAGTTGTTTTTTTATCTGAGACTTATCCCAGGCAAAGCAGTAGAGGGAGGGAAGCCCAGGATAAAACTCCTCAGTTGAGCAGTGCAATCCTCAGCCTTTGCTGGATCAGCCGGAGATCACCTCCAGCATCCCTGGGGGGTGATCACACCCGACTCCATGGATGATCCCTGATTTACAGCCCAGATGAAACCTTTATGGGTTTCTTCACGTGCTGGGGAAACGTTTCAAATACCTGGGTTTAGCTCATGGTTCTGGTGCCAGCACAGCAGAACTGCACACCCCTTGGGGTTTTTTTTTTCCTTCTCCCTGAAAAATCCTCGCAGCTTGTATCTGCAAAGACAAAAAACCAAGCTGCTGCAAAGGGAAAAAGCTGCAAAGAGGAAAAAGCCGCAAAAGGTTCCTTTTTTGTTTCAGTTCATCTAGAACGATGCCTTCAGCTGGAAGTGGCATTCTGTAAGGCGTATAGAAGAGGCTTATTCAGTCCCCCTCGGATATACCTTTTATTAGATGTTTCCGTTCGGCTTCTCGCTCCCTTTGCCTCAGCAGCATTCCCGCGGGAGCTGCCGTCAGGCTGGTGCCCCGAGAGGCAATTGGCATGTGGGTGGGTGAGCGCACACCTCGGCAGTGATCTCCCTGAAGGAATGTGCCGTGCCTTTAGCGCTCACCCGTGGCGTATGGGAGCTGTTAATCAGCTGTTCCCAATTCTCATTCCTCCAGGAAGGACTAGGGGAAAAAAAATTTAAAATAAATAATGTTTTGCTGAATAGCATGTCTATAAAATATATAAAATCAGGAGGTGCTGCTGTTCGTTGAGCTGTTACAGCGATTTTTGGGTGGAATGGGGATGGAAGGGTAAGAATTGAAAGGAGTTGTTGTCATCTTGACTTCAGCTGCCAGTGAGCCCCTGGAGGTCTTTTTCACAGCAAGTGTCCCCATGGGAAAAGTTTGCAAGGTTGGCGACTGTGAAGGGATATTTTCCTCCTAAATTTTGGTCTGATTTCCATGCAGCTCCAAGTCGTTTTGAACGCTGGGTGGAGGAGATCAAAATCCAAGACAACCCTGCAATGACAGAGTGAAAAAAAAAAAAAGAGACGGTGTTTTTTAAAGACCAAAGTTATCTTGTGACTGGTGGAACTGCTAAAACCTGGTTTCTTGCAGACTTTTTCTAGATCCGCTCTGTGCAGAGCAGGTGTTCCCCAGCTCCCTTACACACCCTTCCTCCCTTGGCCCAGCAGCGTGTGCCCACCTTATCTGGTTCCAGTGTCCAATAATGAAAATGAAGCGGCAGTTTGTCCCCAAGCAGGTACGAAACAGGTCACTGCCCTTGGAGAGCTCTACGCGTGATCCCCGCCCACCCTCCTGGTCTGTATAAGTTCTCAGTAGTTGTGTGTTTGCCCAATATTCAGATGAAAAATGAGGTTGCTCCACCAGCAGCATGACTTTCTGAGGCGGTGTCTCTGTGGCATGATGGCACTGGGTGCAAAGCTGGATCTGCAAGGGGGGCTAAAACCCTGGTTAAACTGTTGAAAACTTCCAGCTGATCTTAGAAGCCCAGGAACAAAATGAGTTGGGTAGAAGTGGTTGGAATGGAGTGGCTTCTTCCCTGACTTTCTTCTGTCTCTGCCTTCCCCATCTGCATTTTTACTGGTCCCAGTTTGTTTCGCTGCGTTCGATGCTGGGGTCCCCACTGGTCCAGACTTTTTCCCCTTTTTTTGTGTGTTTTTTGTTTTGTTGCAGCTAATTCTGTGAAGGATTCTGCGGACAAATGTGCCCTTTTCCGGCGCAGAGCATCCTGCAGCCAGCTCTTCCTCAACCTGTGACGGCCCCGAGCTGCTGCACACCCTCTCCCAAGCAATGTTTAAAATCAGGATGTAGTTACGACCACCTCAACAACTCTTAGTGCATTCCTCCTTTGGGGAGAAACACTTTTCCCAATATTCACAATTCGTTGTGGATGCTGGGCAGCTGATTGTGGTGGTTGCAAGAAAGCGATGCCCTTTTCCTCGTGTTTTCTCTCCAGCATCACCAGCTGTGGCAACCAGATGGGGAGATTGGGTGGCCAGGGCACGTTAAACTCGACTGAACTTGATGAAACGTGAAGGAAAATAGACAGTTTAACTAAGAAAAAAAAAAAAAAAAAGATTTCTCTTAACAGAGAAGAGGTCCCGGTCGGTTTGCTCTTCAGCCTGTGCAGTTGTGACTTGATTTCCTTCCTCAAACTTCTGCAAATAAGGGGGGGGGAATTGCTTTTGCTTGTGCAACTTGATGCCACTTCCCTGTTTTAAATGACAAACTGGGGAAAGCAGCTGTTCTCTGCGATATTTTTACTGTGGTCCACGAGCTGTTTCCTGCAACCAGTTGCCCTTTTCTGACAGAGAAATGATGGTAAGACAGTCAAATTAATTCACAAAACTATCGCTTCTAGGAACGTTTTTCCTGTGCCACTTGCCCTTCTGGATTCAGTGAAATTTTTTTTTTTTTTTTATTTTCTCCTCATCTGTCATTCATTTAGTGCTTTTTCAGAAAAATAATTAATTTGGCAAGGTCAGTCTTCCCACCTCTTGAAGGACCCAAGTATCAAGTGTGCTTCTAGTCAGCGCCACCCAGCATATTAACAGTAATCCTCAAATTCACCTTTTTTGGCTGTTTTTTTGTAAAATACAAGTAGGTAGTTTCACAACTTGTTACTGTGATGCGCTGCTCAGCCGGAGTCATAATGGGTTGTGAGAAGGATTTAATTTCTCAAAGTCGTACCGAGTTAATTTTAAGCCGCCTATCGGCGCCCGAGATTCATTTTGAATCCCGAACTAATTAAAAGATTACGTTTTGAAAATAAATAACGAAATCCCCAACCCTGGCATGAAAACCCGCTCTCGTTTGGCGGCAGAGTTTGCGAGCCTTGTGGTGTGCTGGTGGCGGAGGCGCCGCTTTTGAAAAGGGAATTGCATTTAGGAACGTTGAATTTGGTGATTTTTTTACAGGCTGGAGGGGGATTTTTTTTAATCCCCTGCTACAGGGGAAGGTGTGCTGGAAAGCGTGACGTGGGTTCCTGTGCTTTGACAATCCCCTTGGAAGGGTCACGTTTGCTAATGAGAGTTTGTTGGGTTTTTTTTTTTTAAAGCAGAGCAGATGAGGAGCGCTGCAAGGAGAGCTCTTGCTGGTTTTGCAGGCAGGGTGACATCTCCTCGTCTGGTTTGTACTTGGATTCAGATGTGTTTCTTTTAATTTTTACAAGTTTGACATAAGCTGTTTTATTCATTGCAGAAAACTTCCTAATATATTTGCATTTTAAAAAAGAAATCCGATGCTTCTAAATAGACTCATAGGTTGGAAAAGACCTTTAGGGTCGTCACGTCCAACCTTTAACCCAGGTCCACCCCTAAACCAACATCTCATTTCCCCCTGTCCTCGCTCTGCCCCTTCCCTTGTTTCTAATGACAAGGCTGAGTTTTATTCTAAGCTCGGTGACAAGGTCGAGCTTTATTCTCACCGTCGGAGGGACAGGGATGCTCCCCCGGGAGCCGGTCCCTTCGTTTTTTGGGCGTCGGGAGCTCACGCGGACCCTCCGTCATCTCGTTTTCCTCGGAGCGTTGCGGTTTCATGAGCTAACGGGAGCACGAGACGGGCGGTTTAAAGCTCTGAGCTCCGTTTTAGGTGATGAAAAGCAGACGGTGGGGCCGCCACGTCCCCACGGTCAGCCGGCTGTCACGGGGCTGCGCAGGTTCATCGTGATCCAAACTGAAAGGTGAAGTTTGTGGTCTAATTTGTTCAAATTGAATTTTTATATGTATTTTTTTCCCTCCCCTCCGGTAGTAAATTGCTGTAAAAACTCTAAACTAAACTGACAAGCGCTCGTGCAACCTGCAAATAATTACCACGGGCTCCTCTTAGAGGATTACTCGGAGCCTGGGAGCAAGAACAGGTAGTCACTGACATCTCACAGCATTAGTCATGTGTTTTTCTTTTGATTTAGGTCTATATTTGTATTTAGCTTGTAATGCGACTTCTGAAATATGTTCCTGCTCATCTACTCTGCACAGTTCTTTTTTAATTAGCTAAATTAAAACGGATGGGCTATACATGTCAGTTGGATGTATTCTTTTTTTTTAAAAATCCTATTTCACATTCTGGCATCCAAGAGGGATTACACAGACTTTAATTTTTACATGTCTGGTTTATGGCTTTTCACCTGCATCACTTTTCACTTTTAATAATTTCAGAAGCATTTGTACCACTGAGACAGTCTCTTTTTTTTATTTTATTTTATTTTGAAACCTAAATTTGGCCGTTTAGGAAATGATTCTTTTGTTTCTGTGACTTAGCCTGTTTGGATCTGTATCTTGTTTAGTTGCCAGCAGAGCTTCCCAGGTCTTCAAAAGCCAATATCCAGCATTATTCTGATGCTTTGCTCATGAGACAGTGTTGCATAGGAACAACTTTCCACATGGGGTTGGGACGGGACGGGACGGGACGGGATGGGACGGGATGGGACGGGACGGGATGGGATGGGATGGGATGGCAAAACTGGTGTCTGCAACAACTGGCCCCATTCAGATGGAAACATCTCATCAGCTTGTTTTTCTGGGAAGTCTCTCTGTGTGGTTGAGCAGGTCGGGCTCAGGGATGGGTGGCTGTGTCAGCACGTTTTCTTCCTGAAAAAAAAGTGTTTTATTCTGCACAACCATGACCTAAAAACAATCGTGAAATTGTGAACACTGCACGAGTTAATAGAGGACTACGAAGCACCTTCCTGCGTTCCAAGACGCTGAGTATTACAGCTCTCTTTTTTTGTTTCTCCTCTTCAGACAGGCAGAATTGACAAGTCCTACCCGACGGTGTGTGGCCACACGGGACCCGTGCTGGACATAGACTGGTGTCCTCATAATGACCAGGTCATCGCCAGTGGCTCCGAGGACTGCACCGTCATGGTGAGTGTGTTTCGTTTGTCTCGCGGGGTGTGGAAAAAAATGCTCAAAATGCTGCTGCAAAGGGCGTTTGTATTTCTGAAGGCATCTCCTGTGCCGACGCCGAGGGCAGAGTCCTGGCTGATGGGAGAGTGGTCACGGCTTAAGAAATGATGCAGCTGTGGAGCCAGCTCCTCCTCTGTGGCTAAAACACAGAGCAAAACCAGCAGAGTGAGCTTTATTACCTGCATATGGGCAGAATTTGGACTTTCTTCTCTGTGTTGCTGTTCGAGAAAGTGCAACCTCAGACTTCTGAGAGGAACCTCCTCAGCGCTGAGGTGACACCCAGGCTTGGCTTTGTCTTCAGTTGCTCTTCCATTTTCCTTTCCCCTGGGGGTTTGTCTGGTGTTAGGGAAGAGGACAGAGAGCCCGTCAGCGGTGAAGTGGTTTGGTTTGTAGTGCTTTGCGGAAGACAGAGGTGGTCCCTCCAGTATCCTCACAGATACAGTGGAACGTGTTGGGAAGAGGTGGGGATTGCAACAGGTTTCGAATTTGCTTCAGCCTTTGATTTAAGGGTGATGCTTTCGGGTTTTTTCCTGTATCTACAGGCTGTCAGTAAGTGTCGAAAGGGCATTTTTTTTCCTTTTTTATTAAGTAAATAAAAAATAATCCAAATTCTGCACCTGCCAGCCTTGGTCCCGTGACCTGTTTTACCTCAGTCAGAGCCCACTGAACAATAGCCGACCTTGCTCCGGGATGGATGCGGAATCCCCTGTATGCAAACACAGCAGAAATAAGTGAAAGAAAATCCTTGTAAGATGAAATAATGCCAAATAGCTTCAGTGATCTTTGGCCATATTTAGAAATGCTGTAGGCTGAGCGTTACATTGAAATCTTATTATAGATCGTGTCAGATAAATTCCTTCGCTTCTGTTCGTCGTTAAAATGTTTGGGAGGGGGTTTGTCCCAGGAGGCTTATCTGGGGACAGCTCTCGCCTGTGATCTCTTGGTCTCGGAAGCTGAAGCATGCTAACAAGATGTGCTATATTGAATATTTAATGAAACAACAAGCTGCTGTGTTTCTAACTTTCACTGCTGGGCTAGGACTAAGCTTGGAAGGATGCAAGAACATTCCTCCAGAAACCAGGATCCAGAAGGGCTGCGAGTCAGGAGGATCGGTCTCTGAAACACGAGCCTCGGCGGAAGCGAAGGCGGCTGCCTCCTTGGAGGTCTCTAATCCAGTTGCAATGAGAAGCATGCTGTGAGGCTCCACAGGGATGGAATGGTGTAGAAAAACCAACAGCGCTCGCTAACGAGGTGTCCGAGCACTCCCAATGTAGGCACGAACTGTCTGGGAGAAGTGGAGCCTGGTTCCTGCTCGTCCCTGGACGTGTGCTGCCTGGCGGTGGGACCGTGTCTCGAGTGGGGAGCGACAGCAAGGAGCTGGGCAGGGGAAATTAGTGAGTCCCTGCTGCTCTCGAAGGAACAGCTGATGGTGCGGGAGGTGTTTGGTGCATCTTAGCTGAAGTTTTAAAGTGGGAAATCCTGTGTCTCAAATTTGGGACAGTTGGTAGCTGGACAGAGCTGGAGTAAGTAAGGAACGACGCTGGCCTGGACTATTGGGAAACAAAGTGGATAAGCTAACGAGCCCTCCCATTTCTCATTGCCTTTCTGTGCTGGCACAACTAATTTAGCATCCTGTTTTCTTTGCTTTTCTTCAAAAAAGGTTTTGGAAGTCCTGCTTCCTGAGCAGCCTGTCGCTGAACAAATTCATCGTACTTTAGAGGACTGGTGATGGTTGTTCATCAGCTCTGAACTCTTCATTAGCCGACGAGAAAAAAAAGCGATGTGGCAGAGGAAATCACATGGCTCTCTGCAGAAGCGCCAGCTGCTTTTTTTAAAAAAAGCCTAAATAAAATACCGTATGTCTTTGAGGACCATCTGTGCCTTGGCACTGAAGGATTTAGGATCTTACCCTCTGCCCCAGCAGATCTCATCAGCCTCGGCTAGGCGTGTGCCGAGGGAGAGGGCACGGCTTCGAGGCGCTGCCTCCGCGGCGTCGCAGGGGTGGAGAGGGCTGAGTCGCTGCAGCCCTAAGTCAGGAGGGTCTCCGGCCTCTGTGTGGCCTGGGGAAGGTTACCTTGGCCCTTTCAAAAGCTGAAAGCATCTTCCTACAAATGAAGCTCTGATTCATAGAAGGTGGAAGTAGCGTGTGAGCTCGAACAGGTCTAGTATTTGAGATCCTTAGACGAGGGGTTGAAATAAGAGGCTGGGGGAGAAGACACCGTTTTCTGGTGCTGGCTCGGGCAGCTTTGGAGGTTTCACTGTTTGTAGCTGCTTTGAGATTTTTCTGATGAAAGACACTCGCTAGGTGAGATCTCTCCAGCTGGGTGTGATCTAGCTGGGTGCTTTTGAACACCTCTGTCCCTGGAAGCCTTCCAAACACGTGTAGACGTGTCCCTTTGGGATGTGGTTTAGTGGTCGTGGTCGTGTTGCCTTAATGGCTGGATTTGATGATCTTAGAGCTCTGTCTTGTCCAACCTTAATGATTCTGTGGTTCTATCCAGCGGTTGCAGCTGATACACTCATTAATCTTGCTGTCACATCTCACGCATTCAAACATTATTTGGAGGTAGAGAAGAAGAGGATGGGGGTGACGCTTAGGCTGGCACACCCTTGTGAGCCCACCTTTGTGCCGGTGGGTACACGCATGCCGCTGTCTGATCCCAGCTGAAGGAAAAGTTGAATAGACCCCTCCAAAACCCACCTGCTTTCTTCTCCATGGGAGCGTGGGCTCGTGGAGGAACGGACTCTCTTCCTTCCCCCCACGCCAGGTGTTCCTCGGGGTACGCGTTGGCGTCTGTCCCCTCCTGCCCTTGCCAGCCGGAGCGCAAAGCGGACGAATTCCTTTGGAGTTGGCAAATACGACTCGCTTGAAGTGGTTTGAGATGTAATGGAACACTTGTAGTCTGTGTTGAAGTATTTCCTCTGCATGCCTGGCTCAAGTTCTGGAGAACATGGCTATTTCATACGTCTGGTGTAACCCAAGAGCCCCAGCCTGGGTGGGGAGGTGACGGCAGTGGCCTCTCTGCCCTGTTTTCTGCTTTCTTGATTAATTTCTCTTCTTTTCCAGAAGAGTGGGATGGGGAGTCCCCATCTCCTCCGCTCCGAATCGCTCTCTGAAAGACTTTACTGCAGCGTGCCGATACCTTCCGCGGCCTCTTCTCTTTGAAGAGTCGTTTCCTTGTGCCAGCAAATAAGGAATTACTTAAACATCCATGCTTGGTATTCTGCCGAATGACTCTAATGCGCTGCAGGTTTTTTAATTCAGCTGGAAAACGTTTCGTTATGTAAAGGCTTGTAGATGGTATCGGAGGGTCCATCTCAGATACGGAAAATTTGCTTCATCAGAAGGTGAATACTAATGAGTTTGCATGGTAATGGCCAGGGTAGGGTTCATTCGATTGAGCGAATCATTATAAAAATTTAAACCAGAGCCTGCAATGACCAGGGGAGAGCAGGGACGTGGGTAAAACCTGGGGCTCAAACTCCTGTGAAGCAAGTGGAGGAATTCATGGTGTTTATAAAAGTTGACTCAGTCCTCTTTGCGGGTTGGTGCAGAGCTGGAAAAGACAGTTTTTGATTCTGTGTAAAAAGGGTACCGAAAAACAACAAGAAGTTGCTTTATTTTGCTTTCTCACGCGCTGTTTGTGCCAAACCTTTCCCTCCTGCTCTTCCTCTGAGACCCAAACCTCTGCACGCCATCGGAGCCTGACTTCACTTCCTCCGTGGCAAACAAACCAGCCGCCTCGGCTGAAAAAAAACACAAAACAAACCACCCACGGAACTGAAAAAAAATAAATTAAAAAAATCCCCTAAAACCCCCACACGTGGGAGGCTTGACGAACGGTTACGGGTGTCCAGTTAACCTTATGGCATTTCAAGGTTTCTTTGCTCGTCCCGACTCCTCACTTCCAGCAGCCGTCATCCAAAGCGAAAGTTCCTTCGTTTGTGAATCTTCATTTCATTCCACGCCGAAGGCAGACACCCCACCCTGTGCAGGAATGAGTGGGCCAGGGCTCTTGGGAGCACACCCTGACCTTTCACACTCTTAGGGGTTTTTGATTATTATTTTTTAATTATTTTTTACAAATGTTTTGCAATACCAAGCAGGATTATTAGGTCAATAGCTTCTGTAATCTGCAGAGGATTACACCAGTCTGCAGCTGCTGTGAGCCATAGGGGCTTTCCCTTAAAGAGAAAAAAAAAGTCTTATCCTCCCTAGGCTTTTAAAAAAATGCGTTTCATTGTTATTTTGCCTCTTTATACCTCCCTTTCCTCTCCCACTCGCTGGCGCGCATTTAAGTTTGGTCTCGGAGGGGTTTTTTTGGCAAGTTCCTGCTCTCCAAAGCTGCATTTGCCCAGGAGGATGCCTGAGTTTACTCTTGGTGAGTAAATTCAATTTTCAAAGCTTTAGCGCACCGTTTCTCTTGGGGAAGAAGTGGCTGTGGTCATCAAGGCTTGCCCTGGTCTGGCTCCATCCTCAGTGTAACACCAACCTGCATAAATTGATTTTGGCTGTCGTGGCCGTTTCATCCTGCAGAGAGATGGTTTTGGTGTGGCGGTTTATTTTCTCTTTCTTTCGTGTCGAGCATCTTCTGTCCCAGCGTCACCAAAGCTCTGCAGGCACCTCCTAATATTGCCCTGCTGGGCTCTGGTGTTCTCTTTTTGTACTATTTTTGGGTAATAACCAGATTTTCGCAGCGTGATGATCGTGAAGGATGATGCATCGTGGTCCACGAAGGCACGTCGCCTTTTGGCACCGTCGTCTCAAGGAACTGGGAGGTGACGTCCTGCAGCTCCGGGCCTGAGCAGCTCCACTTTGCAACCCAGTTTTTAAAAACGTGATCGCTGGTGAGAGCTACAGTTTGTGTCGCCTCGTCACCGGTGCTGCTCCTTCAGGCGGGAAGAGAGAAAAAAAGGATTTTTCAGCCCTTTCTGGAGCGATTCTCCGCTGTTGCAGGTCGAGGGTGCTGGGAGGAATGATGCCGAGAGCTTCGTCGGTGAAAAGCAAAATCATTTTAGGGTTGTTCCAGGGTGAGTAGGTCCACGCTGAGGATTTTTGCGTTTATTGGAGCAGCAGCAGCCATCCCTGTGAGGAGGGAGAAGCTGGGAATTAGCACAGAAATCCGTGTCTTCCTCAAGCACGTCTGTCTGCCTGGCTTCCGAAATCCACTGCCTCGCATCTGCCGGCTCTGACAGCTCGCTTGGGCGTCCTGGGCAGGGTCTGGCAAGCCCTGGTCCCCAACTCTGGAAAAAAGCAGACAATAGACGGGCGAAGCAAGCGTGCTGTGATGCTGCCACCTATCTATAAGTGGCAAAATTGCTCACTGCTCAGTCCCGATTCATTTTTTCCTACGCTGCATATAGGTCAAATTCAGTTCAGAGATGATTTTTCAGCGCTGAATTGCAAGGATAGTTTTTGGTAGGGCTGATCCTGGCGTGGGGCAATGGCTTTTGTCTCTCCCATCCCTCATCTCAGCCTCTTGCAGAAGCTGCGTCCTCGGTGCATCAACCTGCTCTCCAGCCAGAATTCCAGAGCTCTGCCATCCTCAGGGCTCTGTTCCTCCTCCTGGGGGCACTTTCCTGAAGCCCTTGCGGGTTGTGTAGCCAAGAAGCAAACAGTTTGCTGCATCCAAAGGTGGTTTCTGCAAACGCCGACTTGGGCTTCAAGAGCAAACTGCTCTCCCCCAGTTAAATGGCATCTAACCATAACGTGGAAACTAATTGCCAGTAGTTCTAAAGAAGTACAAAGCTGCACCGGCGTAGCTGCGCTATCGTCCTTCCGAGGGACAAGCATAATCTGAAACGATAGCAGCTTGTTCAGATGGGATCTGAGCGGTGAGGCAAATTGGTTTTGTGCCCTCCTCGGGTGTAGCCGAATGGGTCTCTGGGCAACCCTGGGCTTAACCGGCTTTCCTTTTCCCCTCCCCAGGTGTGGCAGATTCCCGAGAACGGCCTCACCCTGTCGCTGACGGAGCCGGTGGTGGTGTTGGAAGGCCATTCCAAGAGAGTGGGCATCGTGGCCTGGCATCCGACGGCACGCAACGTGCTGCTCAGCGCAGGTACCGTGTGGCGGCGGCGCGTTTTGGGAAAAGAGGTTTTTGACCCCTTCGACGGCTTTCCTCTGCCGGCTGCTTAGGGCTAGGGAGTCACAGCATTCACAGCAGCACCTGGGAACGCCAGGACATGCAGCCCGCGTTCCTTATTGTGGCCTTTTCTTCTCTTTGGTTTGCAGGGAATTGTCTGGAGGTGTGAATTACAGTATTAAAGTTGTTCCGGGCTTTATTTGATCTGCAGGTTTCAGCTGCTGATAACTATTTGTGTCTGCACTCTCCTCATCCCTGTTTTCGTATGGTTTTATGAAAGATTTCCCCTTCTCTCCACCCATTTCTCCTTTGCAGTGATTCCCACAAGGTATCCCAGAGTCTGCCTGTTCCTTCCATGAGCTTTTGTTTTCAGCATTTCCCAAATTATCTCCTTGCCTGGTCCGGTCTAGGCGATGCGATGCTTTTGACCACTAAAAATGAGTCACATCATTATGGAAGTAAAATGGATAAGTCATTATCCATTAGCACAGTCTGAGGCTTTCACGGCATGACCTTTGGGTTGGAGCCCAGTGAAAGAAGGCGGTGCTGCCAGCGGTCACACGAGCTGTGTTTGCTGCTGATGCAAATCCCTCCTGAGATACCAGTTTGGTTTTGAGCTGACTTCTCCAAAAATTCTTGGAGTCGCAGACCTCGTGGCAGTTAATTCAATGAAACTCAGTATAGGAACATACAAAAGGAGAAGGTGGGTTTTCTTAGGTAGCTTCCTGAGGAGCAGCAAGATGTGTGTGTCCTGGCAGCCTGGCCAGGGTTACAGCTAAGAAACACAGAGGAGGAGGGATGCTGTCACATCACCACAGTCTCCGGTGTTCCTCCTGGTGACAACAAACTGATCTGGCATGTCTTTCCTTCCCCTCAGGAGCTCCGAGTCATTGTTATCTTTTGCCTCCTTACATATTTTCACCCCTCTGGAGCCTGAGGAGAAATTGCTCCATCACACATTGTGCTTCCCTTCCCGTACCGGGTCCTCCAGTCCCATTCTTTATTTTGCTGTCACCTCATCTGGGGCTTCATTTTTTGTCTTCTTGCTGTCCGGTGCTTGAATAAAACCACCCTCCTGATGCCCGTAGTCCTTGAGAAACTGCTGCCCTCAGCTTTTGCTGCCTCACATACTCTTTCTTCCCCTTTGTTCCTCCGTTTCTCCTGCTCTCACTTGCCTGTTTTCCACCAGTGATGCTTTTACTCTTTCTGCCGTGAATCTCTCTGACCTGAGGAGGCAACGACTGGCCACCAGCCAGATCCTCATGTGTGGAGTCTTTGCCCTTGGCATCTCTTGCTCAGTGGCCTAGCGGTGTAGGCGACTTCAGCTGCTGTTTTCTCTCCCAGGCTGTGATAACGCAATCATCATCTGGAACGTGGGGACAGGTGAGGCCCTCATCAACTTGGACGACATGCACGTGGATATGATTTACAACGTGAGCTGGAATCGCAACGGCAGCCTCATCTGCACAGCTTCCAAAGACAAAAAAGTTCGAGTGATTGACCCCAGGAAACAAGAAATTGTTGCCGTAAGTTTGCGTGATGGTTAAAGGAGCGACTGGGTTTGACTCGAGGAGAGAGTTAGCAGCAGCAAAGAGAGAGAGAACCTTCGTGTACGTACCGTGTTCAGTCGGGGTTTTCGGAGTAAGGAAAAAACTACGGGAGGGATAGCAGTGGCTGAAGGATTTGTCTGGGTTTATTGGGATTAGTGTTTGAACTAGGATTTTAGGGCTCAAGTTCTAAAACCTGTGGGAGTGTAATTCCACATCTAATCCCTTCGTATAATTACAGTTCCCAAGTTGTGTGTGCGAAGCAGAAGTTTAGCCGCCTGCCTGTGTGTCGTAGCTTGTGAAGATGTTTTCCTTCAGCCTTGTGAGGGTCTCGTAGGCAAAGCTGAAACGAGCCAGGAGTCACCCCTTCTTTTGTAGTTTGGTAACTGGTTTCTCCCCTCAAGCGTTGGGCAAAGAGAGCTGAAGGTTACTCCGCACAGTCGGCACCCTGCATGGAGGGGTGCCAGGGATTCTGTGCACCCAGAGGAGAAGCCACCATGGGTGGGTCTTCCCTTCCTCTTCCTCGCTGGAGGCTAATCTGTAAATCTCTTTCAGGAAAAAGAGAAAACCCACGAGGGAGCCCGGCCCATGCGAGCCATCTTCCTCGCTGATGGGAACATCTTCACGACCGGCTTCAGCCGCATGAGCGAACGGCAACTCGCCCTTTGGAACCCGGTACGTCCCTGTCCCCTTGCCGTCCGACAGCTCTTGGGTCACCAGCCCAGACCTGCAGTCTCCCGCTAAATTCAAAGTTTATGTACCTGAGCGTATTCCCTCTTCACCTCCTGCCTGCTCTAGACGGTGCTGCCCTTCTTGAGGCTGGGGTGAAGACACCGCTGCGTGTTCCCTAGCTGCAGAGACCCGTTAATAATTTAAATCCTGGATTAGCACAAGTTTTTCCGTTCTTCATTAACATCACTGGCATTATTTTATTCTTTTTCTTTCCAGAAAAACATGGAAGACCCAATAGCCCTTCACGAGATGGACACCAGCAATGGGGTCTTGCTGCCTTTCTACGATCCAGATACCAACATTATTTACTTGTGTGGCAAGGTAAAGAGAAGCTCTTGGAATGAGCGGGTTTATTTAGAGGGAAACTCTGTGGAATGAGTGATGAGAGAGGTCAAACCAAACAATGATGATGGTTGGGGCTGCAGAGGAACAGCGCTGCTCGGGAATCAGTTTGACCCTCGCTCTGCAGGACCGTGCAAGGAGGCTGCGAAGTCTCTGAGGGTCTGGTACGTAGCTGGGTGGTTCTCTGAGGTGAATTTACTTAAGTAAAGCTGCTCTTAGTACAACAAGCCAGATGCCATCATCAAAATGTCTTGTGTTGGTGTTGAGCCGAATGATCACACGTTCGTGTGGGAGGAAGGTGTGCTTTAGATGTTATCCTCCCTGGGCTTGAAGGTGATGGAGCGTGTAGCAACACTCACCTTGTGTTGTGGGGTTAAGTAACAGAAAACTGGAATCGGCTGCTGCTTTCTAAAAGAAGTTTTGTCAGCATTAAGTGCTGTAACAGTGCCCGCTTGTGATGCTGCAGCTCTGGGCTTCCTACAAAGAGGAGCCAAAGACAAGACGGACAAGTCATTGCAAAGGGAGATCATTATGACTACGCTCAAAATCCCGACTTTGTAAACAGCAAATGAGAAGTACTTGGTTGATATGTGTTACCTCTCCTGCTCTGTCAGAGGTGCTAGCATAGCAGAATTGCCAGGAACCGAAGAGAACCTGGTTTGTCCCCTCTCTGCCTGGCTGCGGCAGAAAGTTTTAGCTTTTTTCACATGGGGAGGTTGACACCCCCAAGCTCGAAGCCCGAGCTCGGGTCACTGCACCCCCGTACTTTGAGGAACAGCAGTGACTGCTGAGACACTGCTCAGCCGCTGTCCCTGGGTCAGGTCCCCAGCAGGGACCTGCTTTGTGGTGTTTCTGGGGTGCCACGCGGGTCGGGAGGACACAGCGACCTGCTTGCCCCGTAGCAACTGCCCTGAGCATCCTGAGACAAGACATACTCCACTGGTAAGAAGTGGAAGTTGTAGCCTGAAAGAAATGAGCTGTGACCTGTGCGTTGCTCGGTGGTGCTGCTGCTGGAAGGGTGAGGCCAACGGCTGCCCGGTCCGGCATGGGCCTTTGGGGGGACCCTCCTCTTGTTTCTCACCCGGCGACCGCAGCATCCGCTACTTCGAGATCACGGACGAGTCCCCTTACGTTCACTACCTCAATACCTTCAGCAGCAAAGAGCCGCAGAGGGGCATGGGGTTCATGCCAAAGAGGGGCCTCGACGTGAACAAGTGCGAGATCGCCAGGTGAGGAGAGGGGCTGTCAGCACGGGGGGCGTCCTCTCCACCTGGCTCACGCTCTCCTGGGAAGTGGCACCGCTGGGTGCGGGACCTGCCCTTCGGAAGACCTCTCTGTTGTTTCTGCAGCATTGGTTGGGACATGAAGTGATGCTTGTGCTGGGTGTAATGGGATAAAACCTCAAAACATCGATTCGTAGAACGCGTTGGGTTGGAAAGGCCCTCCAAAGGTCATCTAGCGCAGCGAGCAGGGACGTCTTTAACTAGATCAGGTTGCTCAGAGCTCCGTCAACATGCTGGGACTTAGGCTGGGTCTATTATAAATGACCAAGCAATCCGTAGCAGAACAAAGTGTCTGCAGAAAACTTAGTGCCAGGTCAGTTACAGCCTACGATGTCAACACAGAATCATGGAATGATTCGGGAGGGACCTTAAAGACCCTTTTTTTTTTTTTCTTGAAAGGTTCTTCAAGCTTCACGAGAGGAAATGTGAGCCCATCATCATGACGGTTCCTCGAAAGGTGAGTGTTACCTCCTGGTCCTGTGGTTTGAAGCCCAGCTCTCATGCCTCCCAGCCCCAAAACGCTTGACTGATGGTTCTCTTCTGGCTTGCAGTCGGACCTCTTCCAGGATGACCTGTACCCCGATACTGCCGGCCCAGAAGCGGCTCTGGAAGCAGAGGAGTGGTTTGAAGGGAAGAACGCCGATCCTCTTCTCATCTCCTTGAAGCACGGCTACATCCCGGGCAAGAACAGGGATCTCAAGGTGGTCAAGAAGAACATACTGGACAACAAGCCTGCCGCCAACAAGAAAAGTGATCTCATCAACGCTCCAAAGAAAGCAGCCGATGCCTCAAACACTGTGAGTAAAATCCACAAGCTTCTGGGGATGGTGGCCTGCACCTTGGTGTCTTGCGGTGCTGCCTCTTGAGAAGGAGTTAAAATCATAGAACAGTTTTGGCTGGAAGAGACCTTCAAGATCGAGTCCAACCTTTTTGCTAGCCCTACCGACACCACTAACCCATGTCCTTCAATGCAACATCCACCCGTCTCTTAAACACCGCCGGGGGTGGTCCCCCCTCCCGGGGCAGCCTGTTCCCCTGCCTGACAACCCTCTCAGTAAAGAAATTCATCCTAATGTCCAATCTAAATCACAGAATCACAGAATGTCAGGGTTTGAAGGGACCTCAAAAGCTCATCTAGTCCAGCCCCCTGCCAGAGCAGGATCACCTACAGCAGATCACACAGGAATGTGTCCAGTCAGGGTTTGAATGTCTCCAGAGCAGGAGACTCCACACCCTCCTTGGGCAGCCTGGGCCAGGGCTCTGTCACCCACACAGGGGAAAAATGTTTTTTCTAATATGTTTGTGGAACCTTGTATGTTCCAGCTTGTACCCATTGCCCCTTGTCCTGTCATTGGACATCCCTGAGAAGAGCCTGGCTCCGTCCTCCTGACACTCCCCCTTGACGTATTTCTCAACATTTATGAGGTCACCCCTCAGCCTCCTCTTCTCAAAGCTAGAGAGACCCTTGGTGCAACTTGAGGCCGTTTCCTCTTGCCTTATTGCTTGTTACTTGGTTGAACAGACCAACCCCCACCTCTCCACAACCTCCCTTCAGGTACGTGTAGAGAGCGAGGAGGTTTCCTCTCAGTCTCCTCCAGCCCCAGCTCCCTCAGCCGCTCCTCACGGGACAGATGTTCCAAATCCTTTCCCACCTCTGTACCCCCCCCAGCACCTCCATGTCCCTCTTGTAGTTAGAACGAGGCTCGGGCACGGATGATTGGAGTACCCCGGGACTGGGTGGGTGACACAGAGCCGAGGTGCCCCTCGAGCTGCGCTGTCCCGGCCGCGGGACGCGCGTGGGGAGCTCCGCTCTAACGGCCGCCTGGCTTGCCTTCCAGCAAAACGACGCCAAGCTGGACGAGATTTTGAAAGAGCTGAAATCTATAAAAGACACGATCACCAACCAAGACGAGCGCATTGCCAAGCTGGAGCAGCAGATGGCCAAGATCGGGGACTGACCAGGCTCGGCGAGCGGCAGCGTGCGGCATCCCAGTACGAGCTTTCCTGTTCTCCTAAATTCACGTCAACGAGAGCTGATGATTAAAAGCCAAGCTTTTTAGTGAAAGATTTTTTTTTTTCCCTGATGTTTTAATGAATTTATGTGACTGTGTCAAACAAGTCGAAAAGCATAAGTGCTACTTTTACAGTCTTTTTTTTTTTCTCCAGATGTTACGAATTCTTGAAAACAAATCCATTCTGACTTTCAATGTTGTGCCCAAATATCTTTTTTTTCCTAGATTTAGGGACCAATGCCACGTTGTTCTTAACCACTTTTTTTTTTTTTAAAAGTTGCCAAAAAAAAAAAAAAGAGAAAAAAAAAAGAAGTCGCTTTTTTATTTTTCTTATTTGCCACTTTGCAGTATTTGTGTTTGAAATTTCAAGGGACAGCACTGCGTGTGTGTGTGTGCGTGCGTGCGTGTGCGTGCTGGGTGTTTATACCGTTCGGAGAACAAACCTCGAAGCTGTTTTGTACAAACCTTCCATCTCGAACAATCGGATCCGTTTCCTTTGCGGTGGGGCCGAGGCTGCTGCTGAGACACCTCGGAGATCGGACGAGCCGCCTGTCCTGCCTCCCTGACGCGTCCCCGTCACTGCTGTCTGACGGTTTAAAGAAAAGAAAGAGAAGAAAACCGACCCAACCTGGTTCTGAAGGAGGCGATTCATGCCGCAGAACGCCTCTTCTCCTTTTTTTTTTCTTTTTCATAGAATCATTTTTATACCCCGAAGAACTTCTCAACGAGCATCACGCCGCCCTTTTCAAACAGCCCCACAGTTTCGCATTCCTCTGGCCGTATCCAAGCAGACACATTTTACTTGCTGGGTATTTTTTTTTATATACCTTTTTTTTAATTT